GTTGAGCAGCGAAGGGCCACCGAGAGCACTCACCACGCAAGAAGTCGTGGAAATGGCCCTCCAGGCTGCCAAAGGGGTCCAGTATCTTCACAGAAAAAGACTGGTGCACAGAGATTTGGCGGCCAGGAATTGCGTGTAAGTAAACAGAAGAAGAACTATTCGATACTCTTCTCTTAACTAAAACATTCTCCTTCCTATGTTTCTTTAACCACGAATATAAAGATTCCACACGTGTACACACGATTCCAATTCTATCCGTATTTTTGTATTCTCTTCTCGGCTGTAAAGGCGACGTTTTATTGTACGATATACATGTACTTGGACTGAATAATTTAGCGAAGCATCAGTTGGAGCGCCATAAAGCTAAGGTCGTTACGTTTCGTTACAAAATTAATTGGCCGTGCGGCATTAATTAGCAATAAATACGCTCGCTCAAGACTGTTTAATTACCGGCAGCTACTCTTTCGTTTCGCAAAGGTGACTTTAATGCTCCTCCCGGCAGCCCATTTTTACGCGCCTTTTTGCATTACCACGCGAATCAGTCGCCAAGTTTCAATCTTAAGCCACCGGCGTTCACATCACTGCGTTCACGTGCCATGCCGTGTTTGTGACATTTATATCAGTTGTTACGGCGACTCGAGCGCGTTTAACAGTCGACGATGTATTTTGTTTAGCGTTGACGATGATCTGAGGGTTCAAATCACGGACAACGCTCTGGCCAGGGATCTATTTCCGCAGGATTATCATTGTCTCGGTGACAACGAAAATCGTCCAATCAAGTGGCTCGCTATTGAAAGTCTACTTAATAAAACCTTCAGCACTGCTTCAGACGTGGTGAGTAAATTACTCTCTCTCGCAACTTTTGCGTCGATATATCCGATGGAATTGAAATCAACAGAAGCGATCCGGTTCAATTCTTCTTGCACGCCTCGATTTATACGCATGTGACGATCAAGAAATATGAAATATTCAAGAATAATAATCAAAGTCTAACTGCGCTCGTTAAACTTACAAATGAATCCTTTTGCAGAGCGTTTGAAAGAATTTTTGATGCTTAAACATCGTGCCTTTGAAATTTTTCAGCTAACTACTTTTCTCTAATTAGTACTAATTAAATTTTCATCTGTTGAGTAGATACTATTTTACGAATTCTTCAAATACACCCAATTCTGTTTTTACACGGTAGATACGTTCAAGAAAACACCGTGTAAAAAAAGACATCGTGTACATATCCTTAAAACCTGTAAAAACTAGCTGAAATAAAAGGATTCGTACAGAAAACTTTATTAAGAATCTTTATAAAAAGCCAAATTTGATTTGTATGTGCATCCATGCACAGTTTATTTTATAGAAACAAAAGGTAATTGAATTCTTAAAGTAAAAGTAACATGTAAATTAAAAGTGATCAGAAATTCAGGAATTAAAAATTGAATCATCATCGGATATCAAAATCACTATCATCACTCGAAATACCGAATGAAAATGTGTAGAAAGGAAATTGAATTTATTTTTCTAGACCGTGTTAAGTCAAAACCGTGCAAAAACAGAATTGGGTGTACTCTAATTTTGGATTCGATTTCTAGAATTTTTTTTTTTTTTGGTATTCTTGAATGATCTTATTGCATGGAAAAGGTGGAAAATTCCAAAAGTGAGTGACACTTTATGTTTATTTAATGCGTCAGAGTGTTTATTCTTACTGTTCGTTCAAATTAAGAATAACCTCGCTCTCGGACCGATTCTCGTCCGTTCTGCGCGTAGACAGAGAGCGCAGCAGAGGATAAGACGGAGAAAAACGTAGGCGGTTAAGTGGGGGTATGGACGTTCTAGCCCTGCCTTAGGCACGTCCCATGCGCGAAACGAGGTTATTCTTATTTTGAACGAAGAGTACACCGGATGATCAAATTATTAGAGTCACAGTACGAAAAATATGTTTTTTGTGTTTGTGTAGAAGTAAAATCACAATAACAAAGTTTTTACACTGGATAATTTTTAACGAACAATTGTTCAGTAAAGATACACAGTAAAGTTAAACTTAGTTAAAACAATTACTGCCTTAATTCCTTTGGGCATACTTTCGATGCATTTTGAGTAATTTACTGTACATAATAAACTGTAAAAACACAGCAAGAACAATTTAAATTCTCAAGATCTTATAAACCAACAAAACTGTAACAAAATAATGCTCATATGACGAAAGTGTTGCCAAGTGTATATTTGCAATTTGCAAACATCAATGTGTCAAAAAAAAAAGAATTCAGTGTAACTAAACTCTCATATCAAAATTAATTGTGATAATGTAAAACGATAATGTAAAGATTTGATCATCCGCTGTATTCGGCTCAGAAATGTCTGCATTTGCGGAAGAAAACAGGAAAATTGTATAAACTGTGTTAGAAACGTTTCGAATAATATTGTTAACTTTTCAGTGGGCATTCGGTGTTTTATTGTGGGAGCTCACAACGCTGGCACAGCAGCCGTATGTAGAAGTGGACGCGTTTGAAATGGCTTCCTACCTCAGAGATGGATACAGATTGGCACAACCGATAAATTGTCCCGACGAGCTGTTCTCAGTTATGGCTTATTGTTGGGCGATGTCTGCGGACGAGAGGCCAACGTTCAGCCAGCTGATTGTCTGCCTTCAAGACTTTCACACTCAATTGACCAGATATGTTTAAGCATCGAACGACTGAAATCGACTGCAGCTCGATAAATGTCAATTTCACCGCTGAGATGTTTCCAAAACCTATAAACGCGAACGAAAAACGAAAGCAGTGGAAACGCGTACATATAATGGTAGTATTTAAATATTAACTTTAAGATGTGTAGAAGAGTCGAGTAAATATTTATGACGATAAAAACTTAGTTGTGAAAAGAAAGAAACAGCCGAATCTTTCGAACGAGACTCGCTCTTTCAGAGTTTGCCATGTCCACTATTAGAATTTAAAATAAGTCTACGCTTTTTGCTGTATTTCTTGTTGTAATCAAGAACCAATTGCAATATAATTCCCATCACTGTTCACATTTTCCTATCTGTGTATCGAGTTTGTAATTTTTCAGCGAAACTGGTTAGCAACTTTGGAATCTGCACTGATTAAGGAAATTATTGTACGACATTTTTGACAATATTTCCATATGTAAATTTCCATGTGTAACTGTCCAGAAAATGTTGAAATGACTATGAGAAATGACGGTTTAACGAACATCTGTGAAATTCGAGCTCGCTGTGACACTTTTTAATTTAGTTCAGCTAATTTTAATATGGTCGGGTATTGTCGTGCTGTAGAATTATGCTTCTTGGACGCAGAAGTGCTAGTCTCTTAAGAGTTTAACGTAATTTTTCTAACGTGTTAATGTATAAATCTCTTATTATTGCAGTATTAAGTACCAGTCATTCGAAAAGCATCTATCAATTTCAATGGAAAAACGTTTACTTATAGAGATAGTGTAAGAATGCTGTACAAGAATTTATCGGTCTTAAAGCTGCAGGTTTTATCACAAAGGAATTACAAATTGGATATAATCTTTATGCAATTATAATATATCAAAATATGCGAAATTGATCTATAGATCAACGTATCTCGAGAATTTCTAGCGTTACTCTCATATATTTTGCATATTTTAATATGCTATAATTGCATAAGCATCCGCAGCCTAGCTACAAATAACGACGAAGGCTCTGTAAATGATACGTTCTTAACGATAACGAGAAGTATACCAAAAAAAAGTGCAGACTTAGTTTACACCCTGATACTTTGTGAAGTATTAAGCGGCTGCAAACGCATAATCGTTGTAACGGCGGGCAGCAAAAGTCACGTTAAGAATTGGCTTAAATAATACTCGATGTATGTCTATGTTAAGCGTTAAGACTGAAATTTCAATATCCATGTTCGCTGATTATTCTAACGAATAGTTTACCGTTACATGGATCGAGTATTCTGAGGTTAAGCCTCGCATCAACGAAAACTGCCAATTTCGTACTCAGGAAGTCGTGTAACTGAGCAAAAAGTATCGGAGATTTTTGAACGATGTAGTAAGACGCTTCGTTTGCAACGTGATGAGTATTTCGAGTGTGCCAATACCCCCTTTTGTATTTTTGTACATATTTATGTATACGTGTATGCGTAAACGAGATAGCTATAAATAGGAAATCGCAGACTGTATGTACATAGTGAACGAAAAGCGACGGCAAGAAGCGAAGAACGATGTAATGTACAAATTGTAGACCTTACGGTTATAATAAATCGATTGATACACGATGTTGTTGTTCGGCACTTCCTCACCAAGAGTCGATAACACCGTAAATCTGTCCTCTCCCCTCTGTCCCGTCTACCGCGGCTATTTTCGGCGATTTTTCATCGTGCTCTGAAGCAACAGCGCCGGAGAGAGAAACACGAACACCGAAAAAGTTTTGTTTTCTCGGAAATCGTTCATCAAACCGTGAAATATTGTCTCGTAAATGACTCCTATAATTCGGGAACCCTACGCCGAGAACGCCGAGTGATAAAATTAATGGCTCCTCCCTGACGTCTTGTTTAAAATGGCAGATGAGTCCGTATTTAATTTTCTGGTATCTCTTGCTAACTCTGTTTCGCGTGTAATCGGATACATTGCCAAGATAAAAAAAAATCACTTTTGAAGGACTTTCTAAATTATATGTCTGATATTTTTTGCTTGTTATTTTTTACCGATGAACGTATTTTCGGTTTAATTAGCTCGTTTATCACAGTCGTAGAAAACTCAGCCCGTGTGCTGGCTTCACCTCGCGCAAGGGTTCCATGGTAGGGCCATCTGTGTAGGCAGAAACCACACGTCCCATGGAAGTACTTACTTAGCAAGACCGTCTAAAAATGGGGCGCAATGGGATCCGTACGTAGAAACGTATATACAGGGTGAGTCATACAACTGGTCCACCCTGAATAATTTTTAATTTATGTGTCCTACAGAAAAGTGTTTTATATATAAATTGCACTGTATCGAAGGGAACATATGACGGTGAAACGATTGTTTTAAATAACTTATTTGTTTACGACATATTAAGGTCGCCTTAAATTTTTCAATGGAATGCAAAAATTTGAAAGAGCAGTGAATTTTCTATCAGAAAATTATCAAATGTAAAAAAATTAAATAACAATTGTAGCATTGTTTAAATAGGTCGCGTGGAATAAGTGTGAAGTTGCGTGAGAGCATGTACAGGGTGTTACATTTAAACGAGAACGGTGGAATATCTCACGAGAGATTGAAGCTAACAAAAAAGTGTTCGTACAAAAGTTGTGTGGTATAATGAGGCTCAAATTAGTTAGGCGTACTATACAAGATGTTCGATCCCTCCTGAGAGAAAATTGAAGGGGTGCTTCTAAAAGCCGAAATAAGACGAAAATCAAGAATATAAAAATTGCGTTCGAGGCTTCGTTTGTTAGTTACTAACGTTTAAAAATATTCCTATAGCTGAGCAATCCGCCCTACACCAACGAGTGTAGGGTACGTCAAGACACGGGAGGTACGGTAATCCTCAAAATGAACGACACATGGCCGGCACCTTACCTCGTACAAGTCGTAGAGCAGAAGGCAGTGACATTTGGTACTGCAAATGACATTACCAACTTCTGTGCCATTACCGTTTGCTTCACCACGACACGGGTGAATGTCAGAATGTTCTTCGTTGTGTACTGAAAGCAGAATACACGAAACCACTGAAAAAGAATTACTATATACTACAATATTCACATGCACACGCGCACGCACGAAATAAAGGGCAAAGAAAATTGAAAATGATGGAACAATAAATTAAATCTATACTAAATATGCACTAAAATGTGATACATTAAATTGGACAGATTATATCAAATTAAAACTAATTAACTTGTTACTTCGTAAATGTAAAACAGTATATAATTTGAAGAAAGAGATGAAAATAAGTAACACTTGAAAAATTTTGTTTTCGTTGATCGAAATGATTCTGGATTTCCAAAGTTATTCTAGCTTTTTACAAAAATCAGAAGAGGCGCGATTCCTCAAGAGAAAAATACCCTTCAATTGACTGAAACACGACGTGGTGGTGTGTTGAATGTTTATTCCAAAAGCAAAGTTTACGACATCCAACTTTCTTTGCCTTTATTTCCTATGTTCAGCTTGAAATTGGCAAGGAGAAAGTGGAGACGGTGTTCACCAGATGTGTCTGAAGAATGTTGGAATGCTAACGGTGGAAGCAGTCACTATGTGCATGCATGCTTTCAACGTGTCCAGGCACTTGTTATCGCTTCTCTTTTGTTTGGCATTTGTTTGCCTTCATAGCAACCAAATGCACAACAATTTGTATGTAAAAACACGGTCTAGAAAAGTTCGTCTAGAGTTGATCATTATAAGTATTATTATAACGTGTCACAGTTCAATTGAGAGGTCCAATGTAAGAAAGAACTGTGCCACAATAGTAGCGTTGTGAGATATGAAAGCTTTCATGAAAAGTAGTGTTTCAATAGAAAAGTTGTAAACAGTGAGCTTTACACAAATTGTAATTTTTTCAAAATATTTTGTACACGTCATCTAATAAACTAATCCTTCTAATTTCTCAAGCAAACTCAAGTCCTTTGGTCCAATTTGAAAAAAGTTATACCGTAAATTCTCTACAAGAGTCAGAAAGTTTGGATTCTACAAGTGACAGTATAGATGGTCCTACGGCTAGGTCTGCGTCATTGCTGCGCCTATGTTACCTCGCTGTCTGGCGTGAGAGTGAACGTGTTAATAAGTAAATGTTGTTCAAATTATATCGTGTTTGATATCATTTTCGGTGTAACGTTACACGCTTGACTGACTGCGAACAAGATAACATGGGCGCAGCAATGACGCAGACCTAGGCGTAGGACCATCTATACTGTCACTTGTAGAATCCAAACTTACTGACTCTTGGAGAAAATTTACTGTAATTATTAGACTACGGATATTCACTCAAATTCATATTTTCACAGAAGAAAGACGAAGATGTGTTATTAAGTTTAAGTTAGTATAACACATATGTTTTGCATTGTATTTTATTTAAACGACGTATGCATTAATATAATGGATATTCCATGTATATTTAACAGCAGAATCAAATATCAAACTTGAAGATGTAAACAATAGTAAATAATTTTCTAAAAATTTTTGCACAGAGGAACTAATTCTAATTTAAAATTTTTCGGCTTCAGGCTTGAAGGAACTCTCATCCCTTAGGAGCCTTAGAATTAATTTCGAGCGGAATTTCTAACTTTATTTAACGAAATTTGTACCTTCAATTTCGGTGAATTTTTTTTCACAACGTATCATCGATACGTAAGATTGGCAAGATTGGTTCGATCCGACGACGAAAGTTGAATTCGTCGAGGGGTATTACGGGGATCAAACGAACAATATGGTCGCATACGAATCGCGGTCCTCCGGTGCCTCGCGATAGTGACCGAACGATTTTCCTCAGAAATTGCCCGACAAATTGGCCCACGCGACGTTTACGGGCAAATCGTTCGGAATGCCATTGTTTAACGACGAGCCAGGCCCTGGTCATCCTACGAATACTTCCTTTCAACCCTTTCACGGAAGATTTCACAGGAAACCTAGCTACCCTCAGCCGAGGGGACAGTTTCCGCGAAATAATTTTCCGAATGCAACCTTCACGATACACGTTGTGCAGACGTGTTCCTCGAGGACTTTCTCACGAGATCGTTTTACAAAATTCCTCGATCATTCTCTTCGTGTTTCGATGCTTCTTCGATTCGTAAATGCGAAATGTGTTACAGGTAGTTCTTACTTTCAGAACTTTTTGGATCGAAATTTTTATTTTAAATTATACGAGGAATTATGCCGTTTGTAGCGATTAAACCGCGGAATTTTATTGCAAATTTAGAGTTTTGTGAATATATTTAAAAACATAAAAGCTAGATTCTGTGTATTTTTGTGCCTTCAAGTGTTCCATAAATCCATAAAAATCCTACTGATCAGTTAGAACGAGTCTTCTGCTTTACGAATGGTCGCCAGATACCAATTAATTCATAAAGGCAGAAATTACCCGTATTTTTACACAAGCACCTAGTTTGTTACACACTTAATTTTCACTTTCTTCTCACGAACCATCAATCAAAATTGACGAAACATCCAAGTCTAAAAACTAGCAAAGACAATTTTTCCAAGCTAATTCCTTAAAATATCGGAAAGATCAGACCTTTTGACCGACTCCTTGATTGATCCGCTAAACATCAGATCCCAGATTAAGCGGTATTTCCTCAAATAATTTCAACCTACGCTGAGAGACTGACAGAGAGATCCTGACAATTCAAACCTATTCAAAGCTACCTTCCATCCCACGTACATATCTTCAAAATCAGCCTCGCAAGAATCATAGTAACATACTCCTACGTCAAATCGCGCATTCTAAGCTTCCCTTCAATTTTTCCCAGAGAAATCACCTCGTTTTCAATCCCAACGAAGATACCTCCAAACGGTGTCTGTACATTTACAATTATCGACGGCAACTATTTTCAGGAGCTATTAATTATGAAGGGATAATTGCCGGCAGCCGAGGTATTGATCGTCGAACGGCGGTTCTTCTTCGGATTTTCCACAAAACTGGCTGGACGAAACGAAAATTTATTTATAAAAAAAACAAGCATCGACGCCTGGTGAAATCTTTACGCTTTTGAAAACCCAGCCACATCTGCCGTGGTGTCACGAGGCGCGCACGCACACGCATACACAAAGGCCTTTAATCCAGAATGGCGTGTGACAATATTAAAATATCGATTAGCCAACGTATGCGGCGTATGCACTTTGTCCTACGGACAAGGGTTGCACTTAAAAGGGACAACGCGCGCCGCATCGTATCCAGGTAGATAGATTGTGGGCGATTTTAATCAGGGATTAAAAAAACGTAAAATTAGAAAAGTTGATATTTAAATCGCTTGGTTGCCTCGATTCATGTTTCATGCTTATCTTTTATTCGTTATCCTTGTCTACGTTCAGCAAACTACAAAGGCGGGCGCGAGGCTCGAAAACGTAGTCCCTGACTCTACGAGGGTCAGTTCTGACACTTGCGGAGAATATACTGTACTGTTCTGAATGGTGTCTGAATATTAGTGGGAGTCATTTTACTTTTTGCTGTTTTATTAATTTGCAAGTTCAATTTTTCGACACTGATCATTCGAAAAACCGTTTGTCGAGACGGATTTGTCTCCGTATTATTCGGATAATCAACATTCTACATACTGTATCATCGCCAACGCTGACGATTCGAACAGCTGAAATCTAGCCGGCGTACAGAGTGTTAAACTTTCCTGGTTTTAGGTGTAGGAAAGAGTTCGCTGCTTTTAAGTTTGCTGTTTAGAAATTGACATCAAACTGGGATATCTTTCCGTTCTTTAGATAAAGCTACTTCGTTTGGAAGGTGATTCTGATCAGATAAAATGTAACACGTGCGTTAACGACTTAAACGAATCTTTATCTCCGCAACTATAAACTTATGGCCACGAATTTATTTTTAAATAATACACTAAATAATTTTTTTAAGCTTACGAAGTTATTTCTAGCAGGTATTCGAGCATTGTAGATAAATTTTTGTTTTGCGGTTTTCCTGGCAAAACGTTAATTTCAATATCTAGACAAAGACTATAGTTTCACGATACAACTTATACTGCTTGAACTTTTCTCTACAATTTCAAGTTTCTCCTGTTTTCGTAGTTACGACATACCTATGTATATAAGAATCAAGTTATAAAAAGACGCGAACCGTTCCTTTTGTTTGTCTACAGCTCGGTAGTTGGCTGGCCTTCGTGAAGAAACTATGTGATCGAGGATCAAGTGTCGGAAATCATCTACAAATTGTTTCTGGAAACTACGCAAACCAATGAGGGTATTGAGCCCAAGGATATAGAACGATGCACCACATGATCCAGAAAGTCTGCTTTAGTGCAATTTCATGAGTAACTAAATTCTTATATTTTATATGAAATCATTTTTCTTTGCATATAAATTTCAAGTGCGCTGTCTTAACACTAGAACTACCAACCGGGTCAAAATGACCTAAAGTAACTTCCAGTGACCTTCCAAAAGTGACCTTTCAAAAGTGAATTTTTATGTAACTAAAATGTGAATGAACAATTAGATTAGATCGGTACAAATAGAAGCATACATGCAGAAAACAAAGTCGAAAAGTTACAAATGGTAATACTTGCTGTGTATCGAACATTCACTCATTTTGACCCGGCCGGTGCACCTCAGATGGACCTAATATTTTAGTTCACTTTAATTCATCATGAATATTCGTTCAAATTCTCCCTTCTGTATAATACTAACCGATGTTTACGTATTGAGGACAAAAAGTGCCTGCAGTTCTTAACCGTTTGAGTGTCACGGATCTTTGTTGTTTCCCAATCCAAAAGTGCCAAGCGGTGCGATCGCGCTTCCTTCATTTGATGTCGAAAAATTACAAAAATTTTGTTTTCGACATTTTCACTGAATACGACTATTTGGAAATAACACAAACAAAGGCAAAATTGATTATGTGCAGGATTTATGTTGAATTTTTTATAAAAAAAATAGACAGATTACAAGAAATAGAATAAAATTTACACTTCGTGGTGATACTTTTCAGAAAAGAAAAGTACAGAAAAGAACAAGTTTACTCAAGAAATTTTTATATTGTTATCTTAGTTAGGCTCTCAAAAATACTGTCGTTAAAAATTTATCGCGACTTGGAGCGACGTTCGTTTGGTGTAAACGGTTGAATCGGAGAAGAGATGCAAAAGTGGGACTCTCAAAAGAATATTTTTAAGGGTGTTAAAATATGTTTTTCCTAATAATTATTACATGATACATTAGCGACCAGATTTCTCTTTAATAATACATCATTCGATTTGAATCAGTTCTATATATAGAAAAATCTACTGAAACGAAGTACATATGCTAATTTTACAAAAAATATGATCCTTCTGAAATTAGCATTATTTTCTTGGCTTTAAAATTTTTTAAAGAGAATAGTGGATGATTTATAACGACCTGTACAGGGTGTCCCGTAACTCCTCAAACACCCGGAAGTGGGGAGTTGCTGGGATGACTCTGAGTAACTTTTTCCTTTACCAAAATGTTATTTGAAGCTTCGTTTTTGAATTATTAACGAAAAACACTGGCCAATCAGAGCGCGCGTAGAGCCCGCGCCCAGGCACGGGAGCGCAGGGACTGATCCGCGCGCGATCGTGAACAAACGCGTACGCGTGACTTCTCGGTTATCGATCGCTGTCAAAAAAATTTGACTTTGCACCGCTATTTTTATAAGGCTTAGAGAAATGGTTCTTTGCAGTTAATAATTCAAAAACGAAGCTTCAACCAACGTTTTGGTAAAGGACAAAGTTGTTCAGAATCACCCCAGCAACCCCCCATTTCCGGGTGTTCGAGGAGTTACGGGACACCCTGCATGCATGTCAAAATTTGGTCCATGACTAGAAGAATCGAATCTAAAATTTCATGGATTTACGAGGAAGTTGGAAATATAATTTTTGGTCTCACTTTTATGGTTTGGTACCACTGTGCGCCGCTTAGGGCGGAATGAGGTGTATTATTTTGAATAAAGATGTTAACTTTTGACAGAGTTACGATTATTTGAATTCAGACAACGAAATCAGACAGAACTTTCCAAACGACCTAACATTATCGATAGCATATCCCTCGTTCCGTTCTTCAATTCGCATGCACTCACCGACACTCACATGTTTGGGCTAATTAATCACAACATCGAAACGCTCGAATAGCAATTTAGATCTCATCTTACTATTAGAGAAGTCTTCAAAAAGCAATTAAGATCAACGATTCGTGTCCACTCTTCGAGAGTAATCTTCTTGCACGTTGAATCCTACTTCCTTTTCTTTCATGTTTTAACCTTCTGCTACCTGGATCTACGGAGGTCGTTGCAATTTTCTTACATGTGTAATCACTGTCGTTACTATACCACACACATCCTGTTTCAGTACTTATCCCTTCCTTGGGACAATTTCTTCGTACAACGCCCAAAGCTTTGCACGGAAAAAGGTAAGCAGTCGAACGAACAATGGACGGACGGATGAGAAGGATTACGCTTTTATTGTGCTTTATGATATTCGCGTTGAAAAATCTTGCGTCGAGTGCGAAAATTGTTTCGCAGATCACGTTTAACTCGAAGGAAGATGAACGGAGCTCGAATTTAGGCGAAATCAATGGTCAAGCAACGACAGTTCCACAAATTTCCAAATCTTCGCATTTTAGATCGATCAGTGACGATAAATTTACAGCGTCGAGCAGTTTGACGGAAAGAAATCATTTCCCACAAGTAAGTAATTTCGAGAAATTAATTGTTCATATTGTAAAAATTTGAAAACCATTTTTTTAAACGTGACACAGAAATGTACAGTCAGTTTTCGTGAATCTATTTTGTATTGCTACATTTGGCTGATCAGAATTGAATTTTTAATTGTATGAAATTATCTGTTCCCAAATAACATGTTAATCTAGTTATAAGAAATTAATATAAAAAAACGAATTTAGTGATAAACAGTTCCACTCAAAAGCATGTGAAGCACTCGATATTCTCTAATCCCTTCGAGCTTAATTTTAATTTAATCTTAATTGGTGACACATTATTGAAGAAGATATTTTAATAATACAGAAACTAACACGAAATTGTGGCGACCGCCACGGGGGGCCTACGTACCTAGGCCTGGCGACTCTTGGTCCTCGAGGCGAACATCTCTGGGTTTCTTTGTCCTCGAGGACAAGAGTACAGTAAATTCTCTACAAGTGTCAGTCAGTTTGGATTCTACAAGTGTCAGTATAGATGGTCCTACGCCTATGTTATCCTCGCTCGCTGTCAGTCAAGCGTGTAACGCTATACCACTCGGTTTCTTTTACGAGATTTCACGGCTCGACAATTCATAATAGAAAAATATAATTTCTTCAATTTTACTCTCTTTCATCTGAAATTTTTTTTAACGTGTCGGTAAGATTTTTCTTATGAAAATGATATCAAACACGATATAATTTGAACAACATTTACTTATTAACACGTTCACTGTCTGGCGTGACGAGCGCGAGGCTCGAAAACGTAGTCCCTGACTTTACAAGTGTCAGGTTTAGGTTCCTTGCGGACTGACACTTGTGGAGAATTTACTGTATTGCCTTGGCAATGTAGACCCCCCACTTCCTGGGGCTTTCCCAGGGAAAAAGGGGCTACTTAAGGGAGCCCCGAAAAAGGCACGAGGCTTTTTGTCGTGGACATTCTTCCTTACATTGAAAATAGTTTAAGCGTTATCCGATTTAAATAAATATATATTTCTCTTAAGCAACCTTCGCGAGTAATTATTTTACACCACGTCATTTCCAAAAAATGAAGAAAATTCTCTTTCATAATATACCGTGTACATTACATTATGTATGAAAAACTGAAGGCCACCTTCGTTTCTCGAAAAACATTGCAAAAATAAAAAATTGGCGTAGGCTATCATGTTGGTTATACGAAACATGAAAACTTCTTCCTCTTTCACTTTTTCCAAATACTTACCATTTGCGAGAAAAACGCTGGTCCAATGTACCACGAACACCCAGTATCCGAAACTTTTGTGCAAATTTTAATTGCTCGATACTTAAATAATTTTCTTCAAGAATGAGATAAATGCCAAGCACAAGGTGAAGAAATTAAAAAATGATTTACCATGCATGATTCTATTTATCAACGTTTCTTCGAGAAATGTAAATTTGATCCCATCCATAAACGAAAACGATCTACAGAAAGGAAGTTAAATCATAATTAGCAACATTTATTGCTCGCATCGTACGTTTATATTGCTTCGAGGACGAATATTTATGACTTCGCTAATTATAATAAACCTGCCGGTATTTCTTTTTTCTGAAGTATCTTTTAATGGACGAGATTACGTAGAACGGCTATTTAAGGATTTAGCAGAAGCTGCGTACAATAAATTTAGAATCGCACAACCGTTCTGTGTAAACGATGCCTGCGAAATTATAATAAATAAATGCCAAGCTTAACGAATAATATTTTAGGCGGTAAAATTCACCGATAAGTTGAAAATATGAATGAAATAATATAAGAACATTTCACTATTGTTCGATTGTGTTACACATTTTGCAGAATTATTTAACAAACGAATCAACTGTTGTTAACAATATTCGAATTACGACTGAAAATAGAGTAAAGTCGAAGGTGGACACGTGTAATAACGGAATTTGCAACGTCTCTGTGTCATCCAAACAGGATAAAGATGGTAATATCGTGACTGATGTGCATCTCAGCATAGTAACGAAATTGGAAACTGATTCTAACAATAAGACAAACGATATTCCATTTGTGGACGGAGTTCGTGGTATAGGAAATACGTATGATCATTCACTTGATCCTCATCATCTGAATTATTCACGTCCATCGACGTACTTCTACAACAGTATTCCACAGGTAAAGACGACCGTTTAAGAAAATAAATAATATTAATTTTAGTTTATCTTTCAATTATCACAACTCTGTTCGAATTGTCGTTAATTTATTCGTTGAATTTAAGTGAAACTTATAAAATGGACTGTACTCTTAGTTCGAATAAGCTCTGCCATGTTGTATTCAATATTGAATGAAAACTTTCCAATCAAATTTGTACAGAGTGAGCGAAAAACTGATTAGCACGACCAAAAATTTGAGAATTAAAGCGTTATGAAGACTTTTTGTATAATGTTCATTACATGATAATTGAGGACTAAATGATTACATAAAAATTTGGAGAAAATTAAGCGAAGAGTCCAATTCTAAAAGTTTGTCCTGAAAATATCATATTACGGATGTCTTTATCTTTGTTTGAACAAAATATTGCAGCTAATTTCGTGTTAAATGTTCGAAATGAAATTTTATTCATTCTACTCGTGATAAAATATTTCAGATCCAAAGCCGTTATCAAGGCGGCGAACCTTGGTACCAAGGTCGAAGGATGTTCCAAAGACCTGAAATTTGGCGTTCCCATTCTTCGGACCGTTATACCGGATGGTTACCTAACAGACTCGTGGTTGACGATAAAATTGAACCACCGTTTAGCAAAACTCAACGAAATAACGAATGACAGTTTTTGTGAGTGTTATCCCTGTGTTTAATAAAATACAAATTCTATTATTGTATAACGATATTATATTTTCTACCTTTCTTACAAAAAAGAAGCTTCAAAGCAGAGCAAAAATACAACAATACCATATTAAATACCTAGACAGAATATCAATTGTTAATATTCCGGTCATAGAAGGTAAGAAGTTTCTCGATTCTATTTTCCCTCGAAAATATGATCCATGAAATGTAAGTCTACGCATAACAGCTTTTTTAATGTACGCTTCGGCACAGATTTCGTTGTTTAAGACGACGTACAGCCACTTGTAAATAATCGTGCATAGCTCTATCCGTTTCATATGTCGAGTGTCACTTAAATACATTGAGTATTGGTCTGGCAATCGTGTAAGTGTATTTGATAAGTAGAACGATTCAAGATCTTGCTTCTAACCCTGAGTTTACAGAGGATGGCTTGGTTTTTAAGAGGGGCAAAGACTGTTTCATTTTATCGCAGTACGTGTATATTTAACCGAAAAGATCGACGGTGTACGGTTTAATCGTGAACTGTTCGGAAAGTGATTTTCCCGTTGTCGTTTACACCTGTTGTCGAAACTTTGCGAGAGACTGTTTTTCCACTCGGGTCAACCTGACTGTGCGACATAGAACTGGAAAATACGCCAAAATTATTGCCAGATGGTGGAGGAAGCTCCTCGGCGAATCTGGATTGTATTCCTGGTGCAGCCTGAAAAGTTAACAATAAGTCTTAATCAAAAGACGAAAATGAAAGAGACTTGTTTTTTTTTAATATTAATGAGTTCTCAGAATTAGCCTTAACAATAAGAACGTTGTTTATTTTCTTGCAATGGAGAAAATAAATGGTCTATGCTTAAATTCAAAGTGTCACATTTACTATTTATACATGATGGGGCACATAAGACAGGCCATCTAATTACCTTCTCTAGCTATGGTGGTACGAGAAAAGTTTTATACGCAATTTAAATAATTTCGGAAGAAACATTTTTCTGATGGAAAAAATTTTAGAAAGATTTAAGAGTCCAGGGTCATTTTAAGATCATATTATTCTCCACGTGTCAATGCATATCAATATCTGCTACAACATACAGTAGAAAAAAAAATGTATGAAAAAGAAACAGAAAAAATGGCATTTGTAAAAAAACTTGACTCCCATCTTATGCATCGGTTAAAACCATTTATAAATTACGTATAAAAATTTTCTCGTACCACCATAGCTGGAGAAGACAATTAGGTGGCCTGTTTTACGTGGCCCACCCTGTATATCAGTACTGAACAAAAACAAATATAAGTGCATCTAGATATAAAATATCTTTTCTCATGAAACACTGGTACTCAAATGGATAATTAATAATGAAAAGTGTAGATAAAGTCAGTATAATTTTTCTTTTGCACAATTACAATATCGTCTTAGTGTTATAAACTTCTGTTTTTACGATTTTACAGCTTTCATTCATACTACAGTGCTGTCGCGTTAGCTGGCCGCGGCTCGGGATTAAATCTGGTCAGCAATCAAGGGAGGTACACTCTGTCCAAGTTAAGAATAACCTCGCTCTCGGACCGATTCGCGTCCGTAAGACGGAGAAAAACGTAGGCGGTTAAGTGGGGGTTTGGTCGTTCTAGCCCTGCCTTAGGCACGTCCCAAGCGCGAAGCGAGGTTATTCTTAAATTGGACAGAGTATTCTACGAAATCCCGGGCATGTCTCTTCTCCACTGAGTGCAAGTGAGATGCAGATGTTCGATACGAAATATCGAGGTCCTTGTTTAGTTCAGACACTTAACGCTAGAGGCTCGCTCCGCGGAGCAAGTTTGAAGAACTGGTGGGGATAGCGACGGACAGCTAGCGAGGCGAAAACCCGGCTAGCTGACGCGACAGCGCTGTATTTATGTTTGTTGCAAGATAATGTAACTCTTGGGATAGAAATAAATACGTACATGTTCACGCATAATTTTTTGTAGTTATTTCATGTATTATTACTTACTGGATTGATTGCACCCGTTTGGTAACCACCTCCTGGACCCAAATTAATGCTGGAATAAGCGGTGTGTGCTCCAGGGGAAGAGGCTCCATCAGAGGCTATGCGATTAGTTGCTTCAAAGATCCTAATATATAACAATATATTATTTAGAGAAGTTTGTATTATTATTTACGAAGAGAAGTTGTTTCCAAAAATTTACATAGGCTCTTTTATTTCGGAAATTACTTTTGCATAGACATAACACAGTCGAAATGTGCCTTATTTTGAATAGAACGAGGACGAATTAATTGGTAATAATGAGAAAGAGTTAATTTCTTCATAGTTTTAATTGTCTGTATATAGGGCGTTTCTTTTCATCATTTAATATTCACATTTCACAAGGTATTTGATATTATTTTAGTACATAGGGTGATATTTTATTTTTAGAAATCCACTTTTTTTAATGCAATTCCATAAGAATAATTCCGAATAGAATTCTGTCACAACAAATTGTAAGATTGTGCGTTAGGAAAGCCTATTGTAGTCACAAGTAGGACAAACAGAAGCTTCTTTGAGTAGGATTATTATTTCTAAATATTCCAATGATTGTAAATAACTCAATTAATAAAAAAAAAAGATTCCAATAAGTGCATTGTTTGTCATGGTTGGTAAAGAATGCAAATTATATTCTTGAAAGACTATATTTTCAGAGTTACCTTTATGATTCATATTAGTAATATTAAATAACTTGGAAAACAGTTATCGATACTTCTTTCAAGCATGAACCTTTTTCATAGTTTTAGAAACATGTTAGTTTTGTTTGTATTGTTTCAACGTATATGCAAATATAAAACAAAACGATGTTCTTACGATATTGTAAAATATTAAAAGGCAAAGTAAAAATATTACGAAATTCAAAAGGAACCTATTTTAATATTTGATAAAATGAAAAATAAACGAAATTTTACATTTGAATATATCGAATTCATGCAAGAGAATAGTGTCGTATAGAAATTTGCAAATTTTAAGTTTCACTAATATTTTGAATATTGTAATATTATTATAGCGTTTTGTATATTTAATTTTCTTTTTCTAAAGGTGATTCATCGACAGACACTTCCAGTAAAACTTCACTAAGTTTGTTAAACTTACGATTGTTGTTGCTTTTGCAATTGAGCTTGCATTTGTCTAAAATTTTCCTCCATTTGTTTTTGGAAAGTATCGTAATTGTAACCGGGGAACGCGAATGCGCCGAAATCGTAGAATGGAGTGTCTGTAACAGATTAAGCGATAGATACATATTAAAAACGTAGAAACAGAATAAAAAAAACAATACGTATTTATGTATAGTTTTGGAATTAAAAGATGCAGACAGGAAATGCTAAAAGGAATGGCTCTGATCATGTCCCAGCTAGGTGATACGCTGACCTAACAGCATTGTAACATTATTCTAATTATTTACAATGTTCATTTTCCATCAACAATGTCTGAATCCGCTACGAAGGCTATATTTCACATTTTAATTCAAAAACTGTTCATACACAAGTACGTATTGTCAAGCTTTTAGGATCTGTTATGAAGATACGACGAGTACACGTGCAAAATGCAACGTAACCCCTAAACTATCATAATCAAAAACTCGTCTAATCATGCATGGACAAAAAAATAAAAATAAAAATTTCTAAAAGTCCCTGTCTTCAATTGTTCATACCCATGCCCCTTTCTTGAAACATTCCACGTTAATGCGTTGCTTCTTCGTGACATTACAACAACAACGCTCCTAATACAATCTCACACAGTCGTCCTGCTTCAAGGATCAAAATTTTCCCTTCGTTGTTGTCTAATTTCACAAACGCTTGTTAATTCGTCAAAATCGTAAAGAACCATCGCGATGCATGCATTATCCACTCAACAGTCTCCGACATGATATCCGTGCACTCGAGTTTCGCCCTTTTATTAAATATTACCTCCTTCGTAGTTACCATATCCCCCTGAGTTAATCATGTTCGGCATGTTGGGCACATTCGGTTCAGGAGCCGCGACGCCAATATTCGGGTCGTTGGGATATCCACCGTAATAATCAATCACTGGCGCGTTATGATTCGAGTTATCAGAAGCCCCGGCCGATGCACCGGCGGAGGCGAAAGACGACGCAACTCCGGCTGCGTTGTTTGGTCCCGCCCATGGATTGTTATTACCAGCAGTCGGTATGGTGTTGAAAGTGGCATCGGGGGAAAATCGAGGGGAGAACGGCGAATAATTCGGGACAAAGGGTGGCATGAAGAACGTAGGGAAGGAGAAAGGTAATTCAGGATTCGTGGGATTTTCTTGCTTCGGCGATTGGTTCGGGTCAGACGGGGACTTAGGCTTCCCGTTGGTGTCTTCAGGTTTGTCTTCAGGTTTGTCTTCCGGTGAACCAAAGCGCGAACCTATTGCAGGCGACGGGGTCGTCGATGCCGGACCAGTCGATCCTCCAGAATTTTCTGGTTTCTTCGGTGTAGTCGCAGCTTCGGTCGGTTTGGTGGAGGCGGGAGGGCTGGTTTGTTTAGAGCTCGGGGATTTTGATTTAGACGTTGTGGGTTTGGTGTTTGGACTAGAAGTCGTGGTGGCCGCCGTAGGCGTTGTGGGATTGGTAGTTAGACTAGGAGTCGTGGAGTCTGTCACAGGTGAAGTAGGTTTGGTATTTGGACTAGAAACAGTAGTATAGGTGTTAGGCATCGTGGGTTTGGTACTTGGACTAGGAGTAGCGGGATCTGTCTTAGACGAAGTGGGTGATGGTTTGGGCGTATCGCCGGTTGTTGAACTCGATTCAGGTGTGAAACTGGTCGTAGGATCTGACGTGAATTCCATCGTCGAATCTGGTTCTTTCGTCGAGGTACTTCTGGGATCTGTGCTGGGAAGAGTCGGAGTGGAAGGATTCGAAGTAGAAGCAGACGTAGCGGTGCTCTTGGTAGTACTCGGACTGCCCGATTCTCGTTTCGTCCTCAACACTCCGTCGAAATCCATGACGCGTAGTTTATAGGGTTCTTGCAATCCATCTTTACCGATGAAAACAAAGAAAATAGCATTTTTCGTTTTGTCAACTACACTGTTCTCGCAGAAATGTAGCCACTGTGTTTTTGCGACGCGGACATTTTCATACATTTCACTGTTATTTGCCAGCATGCTGTACCGATCAATTTTGAGTGTCCCTCATTGTGGACAATTCCCTCACCGTGTTTACATGCACAAAAGAAATTTCGCGACATCTAACGTTAAACGTTCAATGTTAACTTTCGCGTTGAACAATTCCGGTACATCGTTCGTTCAGACGTTATTGTCTTCTGCGGTTTTATAGGAAACGTGAGAGCATCGAACATAAAGTTTCGCGCGTAACATAAAACATGCAAAAAGATTATCTAGATGGTACTGTCTGGGTAAAACACACTCGTGCACATGCCAATTTCTTCACGTCAGGACGGATTTCCCCAATCGACACGTGCAATGCATGCGTACAATTGCATGAAAATAAAAACGCTGTAAGCGTTAAAGTAAACAACGAATCGAAAATAAATGCCACTTTAAATCGTTATAAGGTGAATCGCGCTGTCGTTTCTTCAAATATAACACAAATAAGCGTGATTTCTTAGGAACTTTTGACTTTCTCGTTCAAATTATTCAAATTCAAAATTCCCTAAATTTATCAAATTCCACAATAACTCATTATTATTCAAAAATACACATTTATTTATTTATATAATTATGCTTTTCCATTTATTTCATCATTGAATTCAAATTTGTCAAATTCAAAATTCCCTAAATTTATCAAATTCCACAATAACTCATTATTATTCAAAAATACACATTTATTTATTTATATAATTATGCTTTTCCATTTATTTCATCATTGAATTCAAATTTGTCAAATTCAAAATTCCCTAAATTTATCAAATTCCACAATAACTCATTATTATTCAAAAATACACATTTATTTATTTATATAATTATGCTTTTCCATTTATTTCATCATTGAATTCAAATTTGTCAAATTCAAAATTCCCTAAATTTATCAAATTCCACAATAACTCATTATTATTCAAAAATACACATTTATTTATTTATATAATTATGCTTTTCCATTTATTTTATCATTCAATTCAAATTTGTCAAATTCAAAATTCCCTAAATTTATCAAATTCCACAATAACCCATTACTATTAAAAAATACACATTTATTTATTTACATAATTATGCTTTTTCATTTATTTTATCATTGAATTCAAATTTGTCAAATTCAAAATTCCCCAAATTTATCAAATTCCACAATTACCCATTATCATTAAAAAATTCACTCATTTGTTTACTTATTTAAATAATTACGTTTTCGTTATTTACTTGTTTACCGAATCAAAGACTGTCAGTTTAATCTTTAATATATCCCCAATATAAATCTCTGGAATTTTACGTTTTTTTGCGTCGACGATGTATCATAATTCGAAAAGCGACTTTAAACGGCCAGAAAGCGGATGACGTGTCCTCGAGGCTACGTTCGCATAAACATTCCGGTTCTAATGGAACCCGTTCCGAAGATTGCAAGGATGTTCCGTGTTACTTCGTATCGCGTAATTCTTTCGGGCATCGTAACGTTGTATATAGCAATAGGAAAGAAAAGTAGAGGAACTGGAAAGAAAATATCACATCAGAGGTCAAGGTTGGTAAATGTAATGAGGTCACGGTTCGCAAACTATCTTCTCGCGACAAACGGCATGGCACGCAGTGTCTGTCGTTCGTATGCAAAAGCGAGGAAAAGGAATCCGTCAGACGAGCAGCGGTCAACATTACACACATGAGAATATCGATTATCGGTACTATCGCGAATGGAAAATCTTCTGCCTGACTCACGCATACAGACAACACGTTTGTCGGTATTTCGCGCTGATTAAACAACGATTCGAATAAACAAACATTTCCCCCGCACTTTTTGCAGAAATGAAGCTGTAATCGGTTACTTGGATACATCTTCAATGCTGTAACGTGATTTTAAAGTATATGCGTTACAGGTTTTTATGTAAAGCAAGCAACTATATGAGAAAGAAAGAAATTGTCTCCTTGTCGATGTATCGAACAAAATGTCAAATTTTATTATACGAATCGAAAAGTTGCCAATAAGTTGACTATTTGTATAATTATTTGAGAGAAGCTTGTCGGTTATCGATCAACGTTGCCGTTGCTCGGTGCTTACTTTAGGATACATATAAACGCGAACATATTTCCAGAACGGAAATCAATAAAGCCTATCGTACCATGAAAAACTACGTACAAGGTATAATGGCTTTTTAATTATCAACGAAGGTAATGGCCGGTAACGCGTGTTTAGATACAGGCTGACGGGTTTTTCGTCGAAGTCCGTGTTATGCCGTAAATAAATCTCAGACCTGTTTCTCGGCATTGGCTAACATCGGTACCCTCGTGAACCGTCCCGTACGCTCGCCGAAACGTGTAAAAACTTTTCCGTTATTGATATAGGTTGTCTAGCAATTGACAATTTATTAACGTTTCACGGCTACGCGACACGTCACAAGTCTCATAATTATCCCGATATTTCCGTATTTTATTACGAGGCGTTGCGCAACTGATACAGCCGGATACAAAGTTTGGATACGATTGATCACTCTTGACGTGCACGAGAGAGAAGGACCATTTTCCTAGAAACAACAGTCTTCGATTGAGCAACGCTTATTAATCGAGACGAGGCGTAGATTTGCAAACAATAGGGAGAATAATATTTTTCGGCTCGCGTCAGAATTATGTATAAACCATTTCTCAACCGTTCCGTCTGCGCTTCGTCTTTAATTGACAAGAATGTTGCTAAGGTGTGCATGCGCGTTTAGCAGCCCACGTGGAACAGAGTGTAACATTCGCTAAATAATTAGCAGAGAGGTTGTGCGTTTGTGGATTAGTGAGGAAGACTACTCTACACTACCGTAGTCCCGTTTCTCTGTTAGGCACAGTGCGTTCGTTTCAGTGGCTTCTGTTTACTCGACGACTACTCACTTCTGCGTGATCTGAAGAGCGGCGAACGGAGATCCGCGAACGATCCTGCCACGCTGACACATAAGAAAAATACCAGAATCCTGATATCCATTTTATCTAGTCACGATCCACCGGTCGACGTTTAAGAGCGTGCCTTCTTGTTTACGAACACCGAACGCGGAAATTCGTTTGATCTTGACGTGGTCGCTGTGTGTGATAGAATGACTGAGTCAATTGGCGGCTTCGTCCTCTTATATAGTATCCGCACGCATCGACTTCCTTGCTTCGACTTGTTCGGTGCTCGTGCACGTGCTACGTGCGAAAAATTGTACAGCTGAATGAAATCGTGGAAATTAATAACGGACTGAAGTTTCCTGATGCTCGTTGCATCGTTTGCATCCTTCTGCCGCGGAGCGTTAATGAAATGTGAATTTTACGAAGAACCGTGACCGATGGTTTTGTTCTGAAAATTCTACAAGACACTTCTAGCTTTTGTTCAATTTTCGTTTCCAGTGAGAATGCACATTCTTCCCTTGGTTAATCGAACAACTGTCGCTTATATTAAAAATACTATGTATTTAAACAAAAATTTGCAGTTTCATTTATTAACGAACTTTCATCGAGTAAAAGAAATCTTCTGAAATGAATTTCGTAAAAAAAAATACGTTACCTATATCTTTTATGAAAATAATAACGGTAAATATTCAGAAATTGGCGGAAACTTAAATTACGAAATTTAATACCCAAAGTGCCTTTGCGACGTTCAATTTACAAAATTATTTGTTGTAATATACGAAATTCTATTCCACTCTTCCGAGAGTGCCGTTTCAAGGCCGTTTTTTAACGAAATATAGTGAGATTGGATTTTTTATTTCAGGTGGTCTCATATATCTCTGATGGGCGGTCAAAAGAGTATAAGTCAGAGTTATTAATTTTGCAGAGAAGCACTTATAATATACTGTATTTTTGCCTGCTATTAGAATTTCAGGTAAAAGAGCGCGAAAGAAGTGAAATTGCAGCAATGTAAAACATATTAGCGTACTTATCCCCTTTGACCAAAATTTGACTTGTACTCTTTTGCCCGCCCACCAGAGATATATTACATTACACTCAGTCTAATCGTTATGAGGATGTCTTTATGTGTTCTGGAACATTCTTTAGGATCCACAATCGTGTATTTCCGAATCTTGTATAAGGATAAAATTACCTGTCAAACCCATTCTACCTGCGCTACGTTCAAGATGTTTCTTTTTCAAATGTTCATATACATTCAGTGGTCAATAGTGTCGTCGTTGAAATGGAGGGAGCCCTCCACTACCGAATATGAGACCCCATTTACGTTTGATTAAATATCGGGTGATAGAAGGAGAAGAAGTCAAAAGCTCCTTGCCCACTACATTCGTTATTTATTTAGACACACTTAAGAAAAATATTCGCTTCGTATGAAAATCGAGAAAATGTAAAAGAGTATAAAATTAATGGTTTATTAAATTAATGGTTAATGGTTCATAGTCTCATTTTGTTTACTTATTGTTGTACCGGCCAATTTTTTATAATAATCACGGTAGATTCTCTTATTAAGTACATAATAAATAAGTACAGAAAGGAAGTTAAATTAATCTGAGAGCAGTGTATTAATGTTTCATTTAAAATTAGTTGATAATGCCAGGATTCGAAGCTAATAAAGAAACTGATCAAATAACTCACCTTTCATGTTATACAAACCTTCCTTGTAAAGGACTATAAGAACTCGTGACGGGCAAAAACACGTTTAATGGCGTATTAATGAAACGATCCACGATAATTGAAATCTCACACAGACGACGTTGTCATTTGTTTTCAGTAGTTGTAAGCATTGTCACATTATTGCAACACTTATTTAGGAAAATACTATGGTGCCTCATATTCGGCACCGTTACTCTACATTTCCAACCTAAAACTGATCCTCCACCATGCTTTACAGCGAGTCGCAAGTTTTGCTTCTATTTTTTTCAATAGATTCAATTTCGCTTTTTATTCAAATTAGATTTTTAAATTCGCGGTATTTTCTTTTTATCCACACTTTAGATGATCCGTCAGAGCTAAAGATATCAAAACTTCCATCTGGCATATCAGCATGCTACTTTGCAAATTTCAATCTTTTTCTCCTGTTGACTTCATTTACGAAATGTGTTCCGTCGCGCAAGTACGGAACACATGGGGTCTTCGTTGACCGGGTTTATGACACGCTCGCACGAGAAGGTTACTTTTGAGAACAAAGACGCTTCGTAGCTCCGCGAAAAAGTAAGTAAATTCTTACAGAACAATGCCTTTAGAATTTCGACTTTTCCGCGTCCTCGATAACCGAAGACGTGTCATAAACCAGGTATTACTGAAGGGTCAATCCACACGCGCGTATAACGGCACTCTCGGCCGAGGGTTGACCTGGCGGGAATTTCCGACGCGTCACCGAAGGACAGCGAAGATTCCACGCACCCGCAGGTAGGGCCCCAATCCTTCCAAGGAAAAGCGCGCTAAGGGCGCAACGGAAGGATGAGTGACACTCAAGGGGCACGTTGATTGGTAATTTGTGCGTACGTGAAAAAACCAATCAGCGTGCCTTCTTGCACTTGGCGGGGGAGTCACGGAGGACTCCAGAAAAATTCGGGTCAAATGTAGAATCTGCCCTACATTTGACTGTCAAATGTAGAATCTGCCCTACATTTGACTGACACTTGTAGAATCGGCCCTACATTTGACTGACACTTGTAAAAATTCTCCAGCCGTTCAAGTACAATTCGAGTCTTTGAAACAAAGTCGTCAATGTTTCGTGACGCACACTACGTTTTGCTAACGTTCAAGATTAATTTGGCGGGTAACAGTCGCGACCGCGAGCTTCCTTTCGAACATCGCAAAAGAGTGCGACTGCGACAAAATGGGTACTTTTTACGAACCATTCTTCCGTGGTATTCTTTGCAGCGTAAAAAATTAGGTACAGGTGATTACATCGATGTTGAACTTGTTTTTGAGATCCGTAGCGATTTTAGGATTTCCTTTGAATCTTCGAATTATTAGTCAACCAACGTGTCCATTTACTGTGCTATTATTTTTTAACGTTTTTCCTTCGCTATATGTATCTGTCGATGATTTATTGGCCGCGATCTACGAACACAAGAAATTTCGTGAAGCGTTTTACACTGTTTATGTAAATTTCTTTTTCTCTCCGTTGCTTCTGAAATTTTTCGACTCATACCGCAACGGTAGCAGCTTGTAACATCAAATTTTGAGCACTTCCGGTTCTAACAATGTTTCTGAATGAACTGACATCAGTTGTGTTTATATTCGCTATGCCATTATGTTACGAGGTAATAACTGTACGAATATTTATTGCTCATACATTTCTGCCAGTTTTTGGATGTTTGTTGATACTTTCATAGGAAATTTGAAAAAAGTATATCTTTCTTTTCGTGTAATTTATTTGAGAGATTTCTAGGCATACGTATAAATTTACTTTTATCTGAAGAAAGTTTATTAATAAACGAAATTCTACACAGTTTTTGTTCAAACTAGCTGCTTCACGAATACTTTCTACACTGACTGTTCGTCTTAGTTTTCATTTCGTATTGAATGAAATTCATAACGTTCGCCTATCGGTTATGCGACATACGTCATTCGATATCTTTAGTTCTCTCCTTTTATTTCTCGAAATTGAATTTTCTCATTCTTTGCTGATAATAAAAAGATTTTCGTTCGAAAACTACGGATTGTTAGGTTCACAGACGTAGTTCACTTTACGAGTTTAACGGTGGTTCTAAAGTTGCCGATGGTGATACGGGGCTGGGCACTTAGTAATTTTAAGAACCTCCCTTCGCGTCCCTTCTTCAAATTTTAGAAGATTTTGATAAGAAGGCCGACTTAGCTTCAGACCACAGAGTGTTAGTACACAGACCATCAGTTACATTAGGAATTATAAAGATTCAGTCAGACTCTCAACGCAATACATTCAATCTTCAGACGGCACCTAGTATTCGAAGTACGCGGAAATTAGTACCCGAGTGCTTAACAGGTTCAAATGATGAATTAAACTTTGACTTGTTATTTTTTATTAACCGTGGAAAACTGTAGTTTACACTGCTCATGAATCATAAAGCAATCGTTTTTACGTTTTATTCAACATGATATAATAATTGATCATAAAGATTACCGAAGATTGTTTGTCTGCCATTTCTTTCGTGAATGAACGGAACTACGTATTCATAAGGATGGACAAGCGATTTTATCGACGGATAGGGACGAGTTGATCATGATTAACATAGTCGATGATCTTGTGGTTGATTGATTATTGGGTACCAGGTAACAAATTGATACCTTCAAATCGATATTCGAAGAACCAATTGTTGCCATAAAATTTCCCCCAAGATTACGTGATTCAGTAGGAACTATTGTTTCTTAGTCATAACGAAGCTTGACCGTGTCTGATAATCGACAAGAATATTTCAAATGAAGTAAGGTATCATTTGTAGACCGTTCGTGAAAAAGGGAAAACAACTTAAGAAAATACTTTTGCGCAATGACCAATCGCAGTAAAAATGTACAGTTACAATGGTCTACAAAATTTTGCATTTTTTTTTATTCCGCAAGGTTTAATGCGCGATTTTCATAGTATTAGGTTGTCCGGAAATAAATTGCGGTTTTCTGTTATGTCATATTTAGGGCTTTTCTATACTATATATTTTAAATTTACGTTTATTAAGTAATATACCATTTGAAAGCGTAAATGTCGCTCTATCATATAAGCGATACACTTTTGTCTTTTACCGTCGTTTGTTCTGAGTATAACTTAAAAACGTAACAACGGACAAGAAGCAAATTCGTACCACATTTTTATATGAATTTAAATTAGGACGTAAAGCCGAGGAGACTGGCCGCAATATCAATCATGTATTCGGTGAAAGTAGTGAACGTACTGTTCAACATTGGTTTAAAATATTTCGTGGTGGTGATGAAAGTCTCGAAGATAAAGAAGGTCGGGGGCGGCCTTCTGCCATTGATAATGATGTACTGAAAGCATATGTCGAAGATGACCGGTGTACAACTGTTAGAGAACTTGCAGAAAATCTAAATGTAAGTAAAACAATTGTATCTAATCACTTGAAGGAAATTGGAAAATCGGAGAAAGCTTGATAAACGGATTCCCCATGAACTCAACGAAGGGCAGAAAAGTCGTCGATTCGCAATTTGCTCTGCACTCCTTAAGCGAA